TACCCAAAGGATTATAAATCATTCTACTATAAAGACACATGCACAGGTATGTTTACTGCAGCACTATTAACAATAGCAAAAACTTGGAACCAACCCAAATGCCCATCAATGATAGACTGGATAAAGAAAATGTGGCACATATACACAATGGAATACTATGCAGCCATAAAAAAGGATGAGTTCCTGTCCTTTGTAGGGGCATGGATGAAGCTGGAAACTATCATTCTCAACAAACTAACATAGGAACAGAAAACCAAACACCACATGTTCTTACTCATAAGTGGGAGCTGAACAATGAGAACACATGGACACAGGGAGGGGAACATCACACACTGGGGCCTGTCGGGGGATGGGGGGCTAGGGGAGGGATAGCATTAGGAGAAATACCTAATGTAGATGACAGGTGCAGCAAACCACCATGGCACATGTATACCTATGTAACAAAACTGCACATTCTGCACATGTATCCTAGAACTTAAAGTATAATAATAATAATAAAAGAAAATGTTCTGGAATTATGATAGTGATGATGGTTGAAAAATTCTGTTGATATACCAAAAACCATTGGATTGTACAACTTTAAATGGGTAAATTGTATGGTACATGAATTATATCTCAAATATACCCAAAAAACAGGGGGAGGAGGTAGGTGATATCTGTTCCCCCTCCTGTTGAAAGTGGCTGGCCTTGAGACTCATTTTGAACACTAGAATAAGAGGTAAGTGATGCTATGCCAGTTCTGGGCCTAGCCCAAAATCCTGGTAGCTTCCACTTTCACTCTGTTGGAAGCTTGCTGTCATGTAAAGCAGCTTAAGCTAGACCACCCAATGATGACAGACTATGTACAGAGAGAGGCCTCGTGGAGGCAAACCAAGACCCTAGTCATGTGAGTGAGGTCATCTTGGATAGCTTACACCTAGCCAGGCTGACAGCTGAATTAAGTAACATGAGTGACCCCACGAAAGATCACACGAAGCAAGAAGAGCCTCCCAGCCAACTCAGAGAATCATGAGAAATAATAAATCATTGTTGTTTTAAGCCAGTGAGTTGGGGGTGATATGTTATGCAACAGATAACTGAAACACAACCTTTCTGAGTCTCAGATTCCACTTCTATAACATGAGACTGATACTATGGGGTTGTTGTGAAGATTACATAAAGCTAACACCAGCATGGTGCTCAAGAAATACTAGTTGTTATTCTTAAAAACCACCCAGGAGATCCTTGACATAATCTGCAGGTATGCTCTTCTGGGAGGCCTTATTCCCACAAGCACTTGCTGCTTCCAATCACATGGCTTCCAAAAGGTTGGCTTCTTAAAAAAACAAAAGGTGGGTTTTCTTGCTACAATCTCTGACACATGAATTCTGAATCATAAACAGATGACCAAGGAAGGTTCTGCTTAGGTTAGCCATTTACCCGACCCTGCTCATCCATTCATCACACCTTTATTAAGCCCTAACTAATTATCAGACACCAATTAAGGATAAAGGAGATCCTCCTTCCTTTGAAAAATAAACCATTTCTACCTATGTATCTATTAACATAATATGCTACACACTTGAACTTGAGTGGACAGAGAAAGTATCTACAGTAGTAGATAAATCTAAAATCATTCAACTGGAAAGAAAAAGCTTAAATTTCCATATAGAGCTCATATACATAGCATGAGAACACATAATTCTGACTGGGAATCCCACAAGCAATACCAGAGCAAGGAATGAAATGGGTCCCTAAAGGGTTCATCTCTCAGTGAGGCTACATCCTTCCAAGAGTCCCATTCACAGAACATGGACCCCAGGTGACAAAATTTGACCATTTAGCACTACCTGCTATGTTTTGGTGCAGAACGGATCTGGGCAGTTAACAATTCACAAGCTAATGACAGAGAAATAAACTCCTGGGTATATCCGTAGGGAAGGATATTAAACAGCTTTCAACTGCATTTGTGAAACCAATCATGATTGGTAACACTGAACTAAAGAGGCTTTTAACCCTAAAAAGAATTAAGAAATTATTTTTCATCAAAAAAGCTGACATCAATACTTAAATTATATGAAAGGTAAGAAAGATAACCAAATCTGTATTTTCTGCATGAACAGTGGACAAAGTCCACTGAACCTAGGAAGCACTTATTCTAAACAAACTCAATAAAGTTCTAAACTCATCAAATGCTAGTTAGAGAGTCAGTATAAACAATATTGGCCTAGAAATGGACAAGAAGACCATGAGGGCTATAGGTGAAAGAACTAACACCAGGCAGGCATTGGGCTGAGTCTACCAGATAACTCAAATGCTGGCCTATCTTTCTCTGCTGACATATAATGTATAGCAAAGTACACAAGTCATAACTATCTATCTTGAAGAATGTTTACATCAAGATTAAGATACAGAGTATTCCTAACACCCCAGAAAGTTCCTTTGTTCCCATCCCAATGAATAACCAGTCCCACCCTAGTTTCCCAACTCCACAGCCAGGAGTAACCATTATGTTGATCTCTGGTGTCATACATACTTTTTGTCTGTTTTTGAATTTCACATAAATGAAATCATACCCTATGTTGTCTTTTATGCTTTCTTTCATTCATCACAGGGTTACCTTATTTTGAAGCAGAAAACCCAGAAGCTGAGGTTTATTTTCAGAAAATGTTTCTCTGATGTCACAGGCCTGAATACCAACTACTCTGATTACACTGGTTATACTTCCTGCCCTCTTCCGAGCATGCATTATAAAAACTGTTACAACAGAACACAATTTTGGATTGCAAAAGTTTCCTTCCAGATAAATTAAATTATTTAAAGGTATTCAAATATTCTATTCAATCTTAACAGAGTATAAGCTTTGCCACTATAAAAGCATAATCTTTTCCATGAATGTAAAATTCTTATTCTAGAGAATCATCAAGTCCTAGAATAAAACTAACTAGCAATTCTGTTATTACTTTTGATTAGTAAAGAACTAAATGACAGGAAAATCTCTCAAAGGAGGTATAAGGCACTAAATTCAGATGAATGTGAGTCAGCTCAGAAAAGGCAGGAGAGGAACAACAGTACAACAACAAATTGTAAGTACAGATTTTGAGGCCAAGCTATCAGTATTCTAATCTGGAAAGTGCCCCTTCTAGCTAGGTGACCTTGGGCAAGTCATTACTCTAACTTTATACCTCTATTACATCACTATAAAATGGGAATAACTTCATAGGGTTGTTGCAAGGATTAAATGTTAATGTATATAAAGCACTTAGGAGACCATGTGACACACAATAAGCACTTTTTTTTTTTTTTTGAGATGGAGTCTCACTCTGTCACCAGGGTAGAGTGGATGGTGTAACCTCGGCTCACAGCAACCTCTGCCTGCCAGGTTCAAGCCATTCTCCTGCCTCAGCCCCCTGAGTAGCTGGGACTACAGACGCGTACCACCACGCCTGGCTAGTTTTTGTATTTTTAGTAGAGACGAGGTTTCACCATGTTGACCAGGCTGGTCTTGAACTGACCTCAGGTGATCTGCCCGCCTTGGCCTCCCAAAGTACTGGGATTACAGGCATGAGCCACCGTTCCTGGCCATAATAAGCACTTTTTAAGAATTAGCTATCTTGATCAGGCACGGTGGCTCATGCCTGTAATCCCAGCACTTTGGGAGGCCAAGAGGGGTGGATGATGAGGTCAAGAGATCGAGACCATCCTGGCCAACATAGTGAAACCCCATCTCTACTAAAAATACAAAATTAGCTGGGCATGGTGGTAAATGCCTGTAGTCCCAGCTACTTGGGAGGCTGAGGTAGGAGAATCACTTGAACCCAGGAGGCGGAGGTTGCAGTGAGCGGAGATCGCGCCACTGCACTCCAGCCTGGTGACAGAGCAAGACTCCGTCTCAAAAAAAAAAAAAAAAAAAAAAAAAAATCAGTTATCTTAAAAAGCTGAAAGGGGCTGGGCACAGTGGCTCACACTTGTAATCCCAACACTTTGGGAGGCCGAAGCAGGCGGATCATGATGTCAGGAGACAGACCATCCTGGCTAACACAGAGAAACCCTGTCTCTACTAAAAATACAAAAAATTAGCTGGGCGTGGTGGCAGGTGCCTATAGTCCCAGTTACTCGGGAGGCTGAGGCAGGAGAATGGTGTGAACTTGGGAGGTGGAGCTTGCAGTGAGCCAAGATCGCACCACTGCACTCTAGCCTGGGCAACAGAGCAAGACTCCATCTCAAAAAAAAAAAGCTGAGAGCGCTATTAAGAGAGCAGCTATTCTGACAACCAAAGGGCTATAAAATAGTGACCAAGACATCTAGCACAGTGCTCCTCAAGATGTTTTATTTTCAATCCTTCATAGACTGATACTTTCTGTAAAATGCAAGATTACATGCTTGGATGTCACAGCAACACCAAATTGCTCTAAAAGTTTCTGAATGTTTACTCTCACTTTCTGTACATACGATACAGTCCATAACTGTTCACTGTTCATTGACTGGCATTTGCCTACAGACTGAACTTTGAGTAACACCGTTTTATAGCACACAAGAAGGACTCAAGAGCCTCCTGAAAACTCAACTGGAAGGTTAAATAGAATTATGAAAACATTTAGTAAGAAAAAAGAAAAACCTAGTAGCAGGGGCAAGAGGATGACTTGAGGGTCAACAAGCTGACAGATAAAATAAACTCAAGAGGCTAATTATTAAACCTAAAATATAAAGCTTGCTGCAGAGCAAAGACCCAACTGCTAATTCCCTCCCTACCCCCAAGTGCTCTAAAGGGTGGCCCTCAAAAAACACGTTGGCCAGGAAGTCATCGGCCCCAGAGGGGACAAGAAGTGTGAATGTAGTAGGCAGAGCTGACTTGGGCCTCTTTTCAGGAGTGAGAATCCACCCTAAGCCATCATCAAGCTTTGGGGACATCAAGCACAAGTTGCAAAGGCTGGAAAGAGTTTCTTCTCTGCCAAAGAAAACATGCAAACATTTCCTTTGGTGACACAGGACTATACACCCACATATTGAGAGACACACACCTGTGGTTTTAGGAGGCTCCTGAGGTCCACCCTGCCAGCCGTACTGTGGGTATCCTTGGTAGGGGTACCCTTGAGGAGGTGGGTAGGGTCCCCCCATAGGTCCTGGACCCATTGGTTGTGGTGGATAAGGTGGGTATGGGGCCGTTGGACCAGGGCCCGGATATGGTGGAGGGTTCCCTTGGTTCATCGGGGACCTGTAAAGTGCACCTAAGAGACAAAAAGAATGAAAATTATTTGCATTTAACTGTGGAAATCATCAGGAATAAAATTCTAACCCATAAGATCATTTACAAAATACCTTCAAGCTATATCAAGCCTTGTGCAAATCTCCAGCTCTGCTCATTTTGTTTCCTTCTCACCATCACTACAATTGGCAATTATTTTATATATTTATTTGCTTTTTGCCTATTTCCTCCACTAGACTGTAGGCTGTGACAGTAGACATCAAGTAAGTTTTAGATCACCACCATGTCCCTAGAGCACTGCACAGTACCTGGTACAAGGCAGTCCCTAAATAAATGTGTTAAATGAATAACAAGATATTTTGTTTTTTAAATCCTCTGAAATGTCCATAAATGTGATTGGAGAGCTTTAAGAAAGTGTTCTAACAGCACTAACTATGAGTCACATCAGTGGATGCTGATCCACTACTAGAAGCCCTCCAATCAACAGGGTTGAGCCACAGTGGGGACTTCTAACAAGCAGCACCGGCAGCAATGACCAACCAAAGTTTGTAACCATCACCATTGCTCTGGGGATTGGGGTGATCTGGTTGTTCTTCCCAGACCTGCTGCTCTAAGCAGTTGGACAGCACTGTCTATAGAGAATGGCAAGCGTCTCCTCTGCCTGTCCAGGCCCCTGAGACTCTGGGGGGCTCACCAGGAATACTTATTTGTGTTTACAGGACCCTGTCCTCCATGGTTTGCTTCTGTGAGGGAAGCCATGCTTCCCAGCCCCCAAGCCTGTTAATCATTCTCTTGATTGGGCTTGAAGTTCTCAAGGCCAGCATCTTGTTTCCGTTATCTCTTCAAGCTCCACAGTGGTGGTGACTTTCAGATTAAAAACAAACAAATGGCCAGGTGTGGTGGCTCACGCCTGTAATCCCAGCACTTTGGGAGGCTGAGGCGGGTGGATCATGTTGAGATTGAGACCATCCTGGCTAACATGGTGAAACTCCGTCTCTACTAAAAATACAAAAAATTAGCCGGGCATGGTGGCACATGCCTGTAGTCCTAGCTACTCAGGAGGCTGAGGCAGGAGAATCGCTTGAACTTGGGAGGTAGAGGTTGCAATGAGCTGAGATCGCGCCACTGCACTCCAGCCTGGGCAACAAAGCGAGACTCTGTCTCAAAAACAAACAAACAAACAATTACTGGGGAATGCAAAGTATAAACTCTAAGAATGTCTCACTTAAACAACATGATATCATCTGTCATACTGCTGCTTTGTGCTGTTACCCATATCTTACATCAATAGTTAACTTTTCACCTATTTGGGTGTCTTCTATCTCCAACCAAATAGTAGGGAAGAGTCTCAGATTCAAAATGTAATAATTTCACTATTATTTTCCATAACAGGCAATCAATAAATTCCTAAGTGACTTTATTATATAAAGGACAGAATAGTCATAAATAGTCTAGGTTCCCTAAAATATCTGGATTACAGTAGCAGTGGACTTTGCTGGTTGCCCACACAACATCCATATTCTCCTCTCCTAACAGTAGTCAGGTTTCCAGGTAGATCTCTGCCCATTCTTCCTGTAGTTCATGTGCTTCAGGGAAAGCTCATCCCATCCAGCTCCAGGGTGAACCCAGTCTATCTAAACCAATCAGGGTCACTCTCTCCACTTTTTCATCATGACTGATTCAAGGAATTCAGGACTTAACCCAGATGCAAATGGCACTCCCTGGCCACTGGGACTGGTTCTGAAGTGGTTCAATCAGTAAAAAGCTCGGACTCTTAACACACTCCCACCAAACCTTGCCTTCCCCTGTACAAAGGTATACACAAAGTCTAGGAAAGATAAGGCCTACAAAATTACTGAGAGCAAATCTGCAGCCCTGAGAAGGAGCCAGCTTTAATTGGGCCACTCAGAAAGGCAGAGCAGAAAAAAGGAAAGAAATGGCATTCCGGATGACTTTATAACAACTCATAAATCAAAGACTAAAGCCTGGCCTAACCTAAACTACCTCTACAGAACTTCCAGTCCTGGAAACCGATGGTAAGGTAAGGTAATGAACCCTTCTGGGTGACATTCACAAATATACATTTATTAAGTGCTTTCTTGACACTGAACTAAGTAGTGAGGTATAGAGCTCAATATGCCTCAAACCCTACCCTTGGGCAACTGGTTGAAACAAACATAAGGACAATGATTTTTAGAAAACGTGGTAAATAGACTGCTGGGTAGGAGTAGGGGCTTAAACCTAGTAGAAGGAGGTGCTGATGGAGAGAGTGTCATTTGAAGGAGTGTGATTATAAATTGAAACTCTATGTTATGGGATCAAATGGCTTAAGGGTCTCTATTTCAACCATATCTGTATTATCTCCCATTTTTGACACCACCTTATTTTCCCAGGGCCTGAAAGGGACTCAGAAAAAAAGGAGAGTTCTTTTCCTTTTCTGCTCTCTGGTCTGCAACTGGCAACACACCCTGACCTAGGAACCTGAATGCAAAGGCTCATGGTGATTAACACTACAATTATCATACAAATTTGGATAAAAGCAAATGCATTTTTTTTCCTCTCTCCTACCAGGAAGGCTGTAGAAAGCCTAGTGAACCCTAGTTAACACAGAAATCAGTCTCATCAATCACCACATGGCCATTCCATTATTTATTTTTAAATCACACAAGTACAATACAGTTATCATAACTACTTCTGTCCTGAAATTCAGTGTGTGTAACCTAACTTCATTAAAACTGCAGTTTAACGTAATCAGTTCAACAAGATCATGTAGATCATTCTCACTCTAGCAAAGTCTGGACCTATATTTCTTTGAAGATAGTGTTCATCTAAAAACAATGGGCAGTGAGGAGAAAAAAGAACAGAGTATAGAACTACTACAACTTCAGACCTCAATGTGTCATGACTTATCTTGACCTATCTGTTTGCATTATCCTGTGCAGTTCTCTCCCTGAGAACCTCAAAGCTCTCTTCCAAGTGTATGTGTCCTCCTCACTTACCCCCTCATCATGTTTCTCTCTCATTTTTGGTATGTATCTTTCTCCATCTGCTTGAGGAAAAAAAAATGTAAGGTCTAGAAGGGAAAAATCCCATGAGTTATTCACAGAGGCATTTATACAAAGGATAAACCACAAAGGTGCTCCAGCTACCATGACCTCCTTCCACACATATACTTTTTCCCTTTGTTCCCAACATAGACCGTCATCTTGGAAGAATAAAAATCTGGATCTATTTTCAGTTTCTTCTAAACAAGAAAAAAATCCCAGTGAGAGAACAGCAAAAGTCACAGAAAGAGCATCTGTGCTGGATGACAGATCCTAGAGCTGGCATTTGAAAAACAAGACTTCATCCAGTGGGAATCCATTGTTCCCAAGCTGGTAAAGAAGCAAAGCAAAGCAAAAAAGATTACCTAACACTGACACAGTATAGTACAAACCACTTTACATAAGCAAAACACAAAAGAGCTTTAAATTTAAGGTATGATACTGAACTTTGTAACATGGCTGCTTTCCCTTATAAATTTGGTCAGGTAAAATATAAACCCTACTCTAGTGAAGTGTTTCACTACAGATCAAATGCAAACTGTGTAAACTGTAGCATTAAAGACAAATCAGAGCTCTAAAAGAGACAGCTCAAAGAGTGCTGCAGTCAAGATCCATTAATAGACTGCACTGAACACTGCTATCCCACGATCTCATTCAAGACATACTCAGAGTCACGGGATTAGCAGTCATTCAACCACACAATGAGAAGGGCAGAAACTATTCTTTGGGAAAGTGGTCAACGGAAATAAGACCTCATCAAAGTAGAGATGGAGAAAAAAAAAACAATATTTTTCAATGTTGTTATATTTTTAATTACAAGACACCTGCTAGACAGACTGGCACTAACTCTGCAGACAGTAAAGTGGAAAATTTTCGCCGGGCGCGGTGGCTCAAGCCTGTAATCCCAGCACTTTGGGAGGCCGAGACGGGCGGATCACGAGGTCAGGAGATCGAGACCATCCTGGCTAACACGGTGAAACCCCGTCTCTACTAAAAATACAAAAAACTAGCCGGGCGAGGTGGCGGGCGCCTGTAGTCCCAGCTACTCCGGAGGCTGAGGCAGGAGAATGGCGTAAACCCGGGAGGCGGAGCTTGCAGTGAGCTGAGATCCGGCCACTGCAGTCCAGCCCGGGCTACAGAGCAAGACTCCGTCTCAAAAAAAAAAAAAAAAAAAAAAAAAAAGTGGAAAATTTTCCTCTGGAAAACTTACCAGTCCCAATGGAAAAAAAAAATGACAGATACTAATAATTGGGGGGACACCAAAGAAATGACTCGCCAATTACTCCACAGTAAAGCCTATGCACACCGAACTTCTAATGGACTATTTACTGCCTCATACATAAATGAACAGACAAAGATTATCAGACATTGGAGGAAGGCCTCCAACATAAAAAACAGATCAGAACAAAACAGAGGAAGGAAAAAAACAACCTAAATGTCCAAGGAAAGAAAATGTCCAAGAAAAAACCAAGGGTTTTTTTTTTTTTTTTTTTTTTTTTTTTTTTTTTTTGCAGTTGTTTTAAATTTATGCTTTTGAAGTATGATGTAATACTGTGTAAGAAAAATTTAAAAGCTATATATTCAGCATGTCTCAACTTTCTTTGAAATAAATATGAAAAACAGATCAATAGAGCAGAATAAAGAGTCCTAAAACACATCCATACAGTACAGTCTTCTAATTTAACAGACAGGCACCACTGTAATTCAGAAAAGAAAAGGTAGTCTTTCCAATAAATAGTGCTGGATTAATTGGATATCCTTGTGTTGGGAGAAATGACCCTTGATCTCCATGCTCATACATAAAAAAATCCACAATATATCACAGAAAAAAAAATCACAGCATATCATAGACTTACACAAAAGCTAAACTAATCAAGCTTTTGGAAGAAAGTATACCAAATATTCATGACTTTTGCAGTATTTATGTTATGACCCAGAAGCTCTATTCTTAGATATATATATATAGAAGTGAAACAAG